GACATTTATTCAAGCATTAAATCAACATTCTTCACATGTATGATAAATCGTACCAAGACAGTAGTTTCTAGTAGCTGTTGTTCTGCAAAAAAAAAAAAAGGTCAATACAATACTATTTGAGAAGAGACGAAGATATTCTTAAAGCAGCACTATGTAACTTTTTCTGTTACAAATTTGAAAAATGTATGTAAAGGGCGAGCACATCATAAATTCATCTTCCAAACCGCGTTTTTGTCTTATTCCGAATCACTACGGTACACTTAATAAGTACTTATATTCAGACTATTGTAGCCTGGTCGGGTCGTCACTGCTGCGGAGTAACACAGTACTCGAATGCGGAATTAACTCAGTACTCGAACACAGTATTCACGAACACTGCGTGAATCGCCATAGACATAAACTTAGAGAAGTAGCTCCGGTTGGAATGTTCTGCCGCGGGATGTGTGCAGTTCTGTTTATTAACTGCTAGAGCGCCAAAAGTTACATAGTACTGCTTTAACAGTAAAACAAACATAAAGACATTAAACTGAAAATCTGAAATAAAGAGTGATTTGCAAAAACCGACAACAAATCTCAGTCATATTTCACTACAAAATCAAATGAAAAATCACCATGGGCTCTAACGAAAAAGTGAAGTTTGGGGCAGGACTATATATTTTATTGACCAGTTACACATCAGCTTTGATTTTTTCTCATACAATACGAATGTTTTTTTTTTTTTTTCACATTGCAGTAATGAGAATTTTATTGTGCTTAATTGTGAAGCAATTAATATAAAAATTGCTTCACAATGAAAAAAAAAATCCTAAATTAAGTTTTTATTCGAATATTTTATTTCTATATTTTTTTCATTTGAGATTGACCCATCTTCTAGAGATTCACCCAACTAATGCTGACAGGAACGTGGTGGTTTGGGCAAACAATTTACACACTTAAATACTGTAGTCTTCCTTATGGAAGCCCGTTTCTATGGAAGCCCGTTTCCGCCACTGAATAAAAAATTTAAAAAAGGTAATTGCGACTTTTTATCTCACAATTCTGACTTTTTTTCACAGAATTGTGAGATATAAACTCGCAATTGCAAGTTATAAAGTCAGAATTGCGAGATATAAAGTCAGAATTCTGACTTTTTTTCTCAGAATTGCGTGATATAAATGGACAATTATAAAGTTGCGAGATAAAAACTCGAAACTCTGACCTTTTTACTTGCAATTGCGAGTTTATATCTCGCAATTCTGACTTTTTTTCTCAGAATTGCGTGATATAAATGGACAATTATAAAGTCAGAATTGCGAGATAAAAACTCGCAACTCTGACCTTTTTACTTGCAATTGCAAGTTTATATCTCGCAATTCTGACTTTTTTTCTCAGAATTGCGTGATATACTGTAAACTCGCAACTCTGACTTTTTTACTCGCAATTTTTTACTCGCAATTGCAAGTTTATATCTCGCAATTCTGACTTTTTTTCTCACAATTCTGACTTTCTCAGAATTGCGTGATATAAACTCGCAACTCTGACTTTATTACTCGCAATTTTTTACTCGCAATTGCAAGTTTATATCTCGCAATTCTGACTTTTTTTCTCAGAATTGCGTGATATAAACTCACAATTGCGAGTTATAAAGTCAGAATTTGCGAGATAAAAACACGCAATTTTATCTCGCAGACTTGCAATTCTGGCTGTTTTTCTCACAATTGCGAGTTTATATCTCGCAATTCTGACTTTTTTCTCACAATTCTGACTTTTTTCTCACAATTCTGACTTTTTTTCTCAGAATTGCGTGACATAAACTCACAATTGCGAGTTATAAAGTCAGAATTGCGAGATAAAAACTTGCAATTTTATCTCGCAGAATTGCGAGATAAAAACGTGCAATTCTGGCTTTTTTTCTCGCAATTGTGAGTTTATATCTCGCAATTCTGACTTTTTTTCTCAGAATTGTGAGATATAAACTCACAATTGCGAGTTAAAGTGCAATTTTGAGGGGGGGGGGGAGACTGATATGTTCTCAGAATTGCGAGTTTATATCTCACAATTCTGACTTCATAACTCGCAATTGCGAGTTTATATCTCACAATTCTGAGAAAAAAAGTCAGAATTGTGAGATAAAAAGTCGCAATTACCTCTTTTATTTTTTATTCAGTGGCGGAAACGGGCTTCCATTCTTCCTCCATGTAGCTGGAAAAAAAATGGAGCAGTTCTTATACAGTGTTAAAAAATAAGCGTTCAATGAAAATGCAGCTGGAACTTGGAAATCAAGTCTATTTCCTCAGCGCTGTTTGATCAGAACTGGTCTCAGATCATTTATAGCATGATGGATCTCCATATCTCAATGAGTAAAATGCCCCAAGGCTTTGGCAGGTAAACTATTATAGTGACATAAAAAATTATTTGAATGGAATGAAATTTAAAATGCAATTAAACACACTTGAAACTGAAATACATTTACATCTTCATAAAACTAGGAAAAAAATATCAGTTGCTCATTACTAAGTCAAGGATGTCCCAGACAATGCTGACAATACTCTGGCTTTGTTGAAAGCGGTTTAATGGTCTACAAATCATGATATTGCACACAGACCAACAAACATTTCAAAACGTTCTCACTGCACGAGTGGCAGCTCCAAACGCTAGTGTCCAGTGTCTGTTGAGTTGAGTTGAGGCGGGGTTAATAAAAGACATCCTCCAATCATCACGCTCCCCTGGCTCTGGACGGAGAGAGGTGAAGAGGTCAGTAGTAATATTCATGCATTTCTGTCCAGTTGGTGACCCAGAGTTTCTTGCTCAGTTCTTGTTCGGGCTGAAAGGCCAAGTTATACTTATAGCGCTCCTCTTTGCATACTTTCACACCGTGGTACTTTGGCATTATCCTGTAGTAAACGGCCCTTTTGAAGAAACCACACTGCTCAAGACAGACGAGAGAATCAAAGAAACGTTTCAGGTAAGAGTGACGGATATGCTTTGTAATGAAACTTTAAGTCAAAAAGTAATACGATTTTAAATGTTAAATGTAAAATCTTCTGAAGCCATTTTATCAATTTTGCGGCTACATTTTCTCATGTTCGTTGTTCAAACTTGTTGCGTTATGATTGGTCATGCGACGGACAAGAACATTTGTTTGCCATCAAATTTTATGACCCAAATGGCACTTTTATGATTCTTTTATGATGCTTTTGATCATTTTTGGAGTTTGCAGTACTAATCTAAATCCACTTTTCTTGAAAAACAGCAGCATGGAAATTGTGCATCTCATTTTGTGTTTGACAGAAGAAAATAAATAATATGACAAGAGGGTGAGTAAGTGATGACAGAATGTTAATTTTTGGGTGAATTATTTCTTGGAAGGAATAGCTCACCCAAAAATGTAGTTTGTTTCTTCATGGGAACAGATCTGGAGAAATGTAGCATTACATCACTTGCTCACCAGTGGATCCTCTGCAGTGAATGGGTGCCGTCAGAATGAAACAAATAACGTTTTTATAAAGTCCATCCCCTGTTGTCCTCTCACATCAAAATCCAACAAACCTATTTGTTTTGGCTTCTAAACAGTGCTTGATCTGTGCATATTTCTCTCCTGATTCGGAGAAATTGCCTTTTCACTGCATATAAAGCAATATTCTAGATAGAGGATTTATATTTTAGCCGGTTTGAAGTAAAACATTTTTGATGGATTTGTTTCTTACAAGCACACAGCTTTTCACTTCACTGGAGTGGTGTGGATTACTTTTGGATTACTGGGATGTTTTTATCAACTGTTTGGACTCTCATTCTGACGGCACCCATTCACTGAGATGAAAGAACGGGAGAAAAAAAACCCAGTCTTCATGCTTCAGTTAGGAGGATTAGCTCAAATTACAGCACACAAACAATTTAAACATTTCATTAGTGGAAAAAAAGTGCATCGAGATTCCCGGTTGAGCTTATCTGGGGATATTTAGGGTTAGTGAGCAAGACGGACAGAATGAGAAAGGAAGAGATTGTTATTTGACTCTGGCAGTGAAGGGATTGCAGAGTTAAGCCAGAAAACAGGCTTGCGAAGTGAAAAGTCAGAAAAAATAAGCGTATGGTAACTAGACAGATCTCAGGGGTCTGCTTTACCGAAGGGCCCTAACGGTGCTGCCATAGTGGCCCGAGGACCCCGCAGGCTCAGAATTCCTCCGTCAGCCTCTCTGTCTCAGAGGGCTGGATCTTTATTTCTGCTTTCTGGGATTTGGCCTCATACATCTCCCTCCTGCTGGCCCGTCGGAAGAAACCACACTGTGGAGGAGGGGCGGAGCCCAAGGCGGGACATTAATTACTGATATAATAACAAGAGGCGGTGATATTTCATATCAAGGGTGCACTGGGTAAAACGGAATTTCATGGACTGCAAGCATGTGGTTTAAATCTGTCCTGTCATTTACATTTATTAAGGTTAAGTTATAGTTTGTAAATAAATGTTTTAGGAAAAGTGCCTAAAAGTGGTAGGTATGGCCAAAATCTAATTTCACACTATGAGTAGTTTTATGTAATGGTACTATTGAAAAGTTTGGGGATAGACTGATTTTTTTTATTCAGCAAGGACACGTTGAATGAATCAAATGTGGCATTATTTGAAATAACTGCTGTTCTTTTGAACATTGTATTCATCAAATATTTTGGAGCAACAAATCAGCATATTAGAATGATTTCTGAATGATCATGTAACACTGAAAACTGGAGTAACGATGCTGAAAATTGAGCTTTGCATCACAGGAATAAATTACATTTTAAAATATATATTTAAACTGAAAAGCGTTACTTAAAACTGTAATAATATTTCACCATATTACTGTTTTTACAGTATCTTTGATCAAATAAATGCAGCTTTGGTTAGCAGAAGAGACTTAAACAATTTTTCAAAAACATTAAAAAAAAATCATACATAAATTGTAGTGTACATTTTTTTTTATATTAAATAATGTGCTTATGCTTACTTTTTGATTAATCCAGTGAATTAAATATTTCATCTTGTTTCATTATTTTGTCTTTTGTTTGGAATCTAATAGATGCAAACCAATATATATATATATATATATATTCCCCGGTGGGACACAGCGCGACTCTGAAGCTCCTTTGATCACTATCTCTGTGAGATACAGCAGCCATTTCCCATTGGCTACCTCATATGGCCATTCAAAGTCAATCACCAGAGTTCCCAAATCTCCCAGAGGTTCTCCCTGCATGTGCACCTGGAAAGACCATTTTGAATGTTTTTACACTTTGAACTGTTTAAAGAGCTCTGTCAAAATGTATTCACCCTCATGTCATTCCAAACCTGTATAAACTTTCATCTTCAAAGATATTTTGAAAAACGTTGGTAACCGAACTATGGAAGTCCTAAGAGGCCATGGATTATTAATATTTTTCTCTCTTGTTTTTTCGACTTCATTTTCTTGTGATCTCGACATAACAAAAGTTGTTCTGTAAGTTACACAACTGCGCCAACAGAAAAAAGAAAGTTATACACATTTAGAAACACAATGAGGCTGAGTAAACGAAGACAGAGTTTTCATTTTGAGAGAACTATCCCTTTAAAAGTGGCCTCAAATCTCATTTTGGTCCATTTAGTTGTGATGTCCATCTATTTTTCATTTCCACTGTGGTTTTTGGGAATCTGCACCAATTACATATTGTATTTATTATGTTTGTCTTCCTACTTATATTATAGTAGAAAAAGATAAAAGTTATATATTTTTGCCCTACTTTCTTAATTTTAATGTGGTAATGATTAAACCCTTGAGCTTTTTCATCATCATTCACTTTTTAAGTGCTGGCCAACAACATTTACAATTGCACTACTATTCAAAATTGGAGGCAGTAGAATTTGTTTTTATTTTTTGAAAGAATTTAATACTTTTATTCAGCAAGCATGCATTAAACTGCCCCGCCACAAAAACGGGGTTTTTTCCGCCCGATTTTTAACGGGAACCCCCACTCGAAACGAGATTGGGCTAGTTTTGAGTAGCAATTGGCCAGGTTTTGTTGTGAAAACCTGGCAACCCTGACGGCTTGATAGATGGTGCATCGAAGTTTTCGCTGTTCCTGGAACACTATTTGTCTGTAAGTGACTGAAAGATATTGTTTTCATATTAAGAAAGTGTCATTGTTGCTTTACAGAAATGTATAATTTACCTGCCAGTAGTTTATGTTTTGTGTTTAGCTTTTTCTTAGTGTATTTGTATATTGATATGTCTATTTTGTTCTGTATTTTCAGTTTTACAATATAAAAAGGGAAAACGGACATTTAAATTAAACCCAGGAAAAGTTACACCTTGAGTCATTATTGGAGTTTCATCCCTCGTGTTAGCTGCAGAGCAACGCATCCTGAGCACTGTATAAAAATAGTAAGCAGCACAACTGTTTTTAAAGGGATAGTTCATCCAAAAATGAAAATTCTGTCATCATTTACTCATCCTCATGTCGTTCCAAACCTGCATGAGTTGCTTTCTTATGTTGAACACAAAAGAAGATATTTTGAAGATTGTAATATAATATATATGGAAGTCAATGGCAACCACCAACTGTTTGATTATCAGCAATCTTCAAAATATCTTCTTTTATGTCCAACATAAGAAAGCAACTCATACAGGTTTGGAACAACATGAGGATGAGTAAATGATGACAGAATTTTCATTTTTGGGTGAACTATCCCTTTAACACCGAAGACTGGAGTAATGGCTGCTGAGAATTCAGCTTTGTCATCACAGGAAAGTTTTAAATTGTAATAATATTTCACAATATTACTGTTTTTTACTGTATTTTGGATAAAATAAATGAGCATGAGACAAAAAATGTGGATTGTAGATTTGTAAAAAAAAAAAAAATTCTAACTACAATCAGCTAAAACATACACCAAAATAAAAACCATTTTTGGTGTGTGTCTGAAGAAACCTAAAGCCACACTTACACGAAACACAAACTCCAGTGGACTCCCCACATCACTGGTGCTGCTCATGGCAGATTCACCAGTCACACTGCCACTGAACGTCGTGTCAATCATTTGTTTTTCTCTGAACATGACAGAAAAAAAAAATGTAAATCACAGAATCAAAAAGATTTGTATCATCAGGACTGTTTTTGTTGTATGAGGGACATTCAAAAGTAAAATGTTTTGCTTCAAATTCGCATTTGATGAACTTTTGTGTTTTAACATGCACAGATGAATCATTTATTCATTGTAAATGTTCAAATTTTTTTCTTAATTTTAAAAAAACATATCAAAGTACGTACAGGGAAAAGGTAGTGAGGACCGTGTTCTTCACGTCGAGAGTGACAGGAACAGGATCCAGATCCTTCTGCTCACTGATACTGAAGACAAACACAATACAAATCAGCTTAAAAGAAAAGGCCCGCAGAAATGCTTTAGTTCAACACTGTGCACTGAGGGAAACTGTATAAACAAGAAACCATTTTAGTTAGTCCAGACTTACGTGGAGAGCTGAAGCTGAGATTCAATCTTCTTTGTGTAAAGTGTTACGCCAGAAGTCTCAAAGATGATTATCAATGAGGTCTGTGGAGACGGAAATCAGGAGTCAGAGCAAATTAGCAAAACAGATCAGCTGTACAGTCTGATTAGCTGAGTTCATTCAAATGGCCCGTGGAAAATGAGTCATTGGAGATGCTTTTTTAATTAACACGCAAATCCTCAGAAAGGTCACATATTGGACTCGTTTTCAGTAAGAAAACAGACTGCTACCTTCTGATTGCTTTTAAATGGGTTTCCCAGATCGCATATCACAGTCTCGTCTGCGCTGCACTCAATATCTAAACCAGTCTGTAATAAACACAAACCAAGAAAGTTGAGAACAGCATTGAGAACACTAAAATTATCTAATTAATAAGAGTTACTAGAAAGAGTCTCTAATAGGAAGTCTATTTCAGGTTTTAGTAAGTTTGGTAATATAATATAATATTATTTAATTCAACTGGAAAATCAAACAGGAAATACAGGAGAATTGTATTGCTCAAATGTTGCTCTTTCATAGCTCAACCAAGAACAATTGTTTATTTGAGATATTACAGAGCTCTTCTTTGTGAAAGAGTGCCTCCGTGTGGACTCACCAGAGTGCGCACTCCTGAGTATTTGAGTGAGGGGGGAATGGTGATGCTCAGCATGGCCTGATGGGCGTCCTCGGCCTCCTGCCTGCCTCCATCCGGCATGTTAGTAACATCCACCATCATCACCAGCTTCTTAATGCTACTGTTGAACTCTATCGTCTGACTGTGAACAAACCAGCACATCCCATAATTCCCATGTGTATTTAAACATTAGTATTTGAAGAAGACAGTAGCTTGTAAAATAAAATTAAAATAAATATATTTCTATCATGAGACCTCTCGGAAGATTTTTAGCATGGTGATGGATATGACAATGTTAATGTATTTGGCTGCTGCTGCTGAATTGCTGCTGCTGTTGTTTATTGCTGCTGCAAGCAAGTACAGGAACTTGCTACAGCCAATACATAAGTCGATATGCTGCTGTGAGTATTTAAGACACACTGCTGCTGCACAAATAGCATATAAAATAACCCGTAGCAGATCTATACAGGTGGAGCTGGGGAAGGTGGAGGGTTTCAGAGGAACTCTGAAAGCACGCTGCAATGCTCAAGCGAATGCTAATCAGCTATTTAAATGTAAAGCAGCAAGCTCATTGACTGTGTATGCAACGGGAACCAATCAGCTTGTGACAAGCTGATTAGTGCTAAGAATATCATCAGTTACGTTAAGGACCCATATCCTGCGCCATCTAGAGTTTCATGACAGAACTTGGTATAAAAACTTTTCTTTTTATATAATTAATTTGAATCTGATTCCAGGTGCTGCTTTCATGTCTGTCATATCTCTCTGTGGTGTGTTTCTTTTATCACGTAATTTCACAAAATGATTCAAGCACAAAATAAAATACCTTAATTATTTTTTCCAATAAAAGTTTCTAATATGGAATCTGAATATTGAGAAAATCATCTTTAAAGTTGTCCAAATGAAGTTCTTAGCAATGCATATTACTAATTAAAATGAAGTTTTAATATATTTACGGTAGGAAATTTACAAAATATCTTCATGGAACATGATCTTTACTTAATATCCTAATGATTTTTGGCATAAAAGAAAAATCTATAATTTTGACCCATGCAATGTATTTTTGGCTATTGCTACAAATATACCCCAGCGACTTAACACTGCTTTTGTGCTCCAGGGTCACATGTAATGTAATGTAATGTAATATAATAACATTTGGTAAGTGGTCAATAATTTACATAGTAACAATATAATATAATTTGTAAAAATCTTTTATGACATTTTTAAAAATATATATTTTTCAGGTTTTAGACTTAATTTGTACAAGTATTTTAACTAAATAGTTTTTAAGTGGCCACAATATAGTAAACACTATATGAAGCATTAGATTTATGAAAAAGCCCACCAAAATGTAATGATAATAACTGAATTCACTCAAAAGACCTCTGAACTTAAACGTGAATAAATGCAGTTTGTGTACACATTTTCTTCCGTCCACATTCACTAGTTTTCCTGCAGCGTACTCACCTGGGGAAGGGAAAGTAATTCTCATCAGCAAATTTGGCCTTGAGCTGCAGGTTACTGCTACACATGTTGTCAACACCACACTCCTTATGAAAGTTAATCTGAGGACAAACACACCAAAAGCACTCTCAAGACTCACATCGACAGAAACCTTCAGGCAGAGGTTTCCCTTCGGTTTGTACCTCGGTTTTGTTGGTCAGGATCTGCTGGCCGCTCAGCACAGGGAAAGCATCCAGACTCTGCAGTGTTTGCGGTGCTGCTGCTTTCTGCTCATTCAGAGACACGTTGAGAGTGAACACTATGGGCTGAAGTTTGTCCCTCACAGGAGTCTAGAGAGAGAAGAAAAAAACTTCCTAAAACAATCCTATTGCTTCTTTGCATTCACTAAAGACAGATTACTGGATCAGAATGGCATACTTATCCTATGCAAATGTTCTACACACATTAAAGAAGTTATTATATATGCATTATATATGTTGGCTATATATCCTGTCGAACTCATGTATTATTATAATAAATCATCAACAACAAACAAACAGAATACATAAAGAAATAAATAAAATAAGTTGCCAATACTTTATTTCGCAATAATGGCTAACTGTACATTAAAGTATACTATACTAAACTAAACTATACTATACTATAATATAATATAAAAAAAATGTTTATGTTGCAAATACTTTATTTTGCGATAATAACATATAAAATAACAAATAATAACAATAACATATAAAACACTTGCAATACCTGTATTACTATTATATAATTTGTATTATTACAAATGCAATGTCCCCACTAATATAGTGAAACAAACTGTGTGTGTGTGTGTGTGTGTGTATGTGTGTGCGCGTTTTTGTGACAAATGAGGACATACATTTGTATAATGACAAAGGTATGACATAGGTATTACAAGGAGAAGGTGACTTTTCAGGACATTACCCCATGTCCCCACTTTTCAAAACGCTTATAAATCACACAGAATGGAGTGTATTGAAAATCTGAAATAGCACAAAGTTTCCTGTGAGGGGTAGGTTTAGGGGTAGGGTTGGTGTAGGGCAATAGAATATACGGTCTGTACAGTAGAAAAACCATTACGCCTATGGGATGTCCCCACTTTTCACAAAAACAAACCTGTGAGTGTGTGTGTGGGGGTATGTGTGTGTGTGTGTGTGTGTGTGTGTGTGTGTGATCAGGTGGTCTCTCACATTAACAGAAAGTTCCAGCTCTTGACATGCAGGAGCGGAAAAAGACAGCGTGTGTGTGTGTGTGTGTGTGTGTGTGTGTGTGTGTGATCAGGTGGTCTCTCACATTAACAGAAAGTTCCAGCTCTTGACATGCGGGAGCGGAAAAAGACAGCAGGCCTGTAAATGTGCTTTGCTTGTTGTCAAGGAAACGAACTCGGGCACCACGGCGATTCGGGTCAGCGTCTACTGTGTACTTCACAGCTGATGCAGAGAGAAACAAACACACGGTTAGTCCAATAAAACACAGACCAAACACTCCTGAAGCAGGCGCTCCACTTACTGATGTCCTTCTTGAAGGCTGTGTTTCCAGCGCTGAGATTGTAGCTGAAACACACCTTCACCTTTATGCTACAAAAAAAAACAAAATCACATTTAATTAATTCTTTTAAAAAGTACTACAGGACAAGTATAATATGATACATTTATGACTAAATCATATTGAAAATCAAATGCTTAAAATATTTGTTTGAATAGAAACATGTCCTCTTACCAGGAATTAACACACTGGTTTGGACTCACAATCTTTGGCTCTACTGTAAATTTTTGGGAGAGGTGGATAACCGGACGAGCCCTGAAAAAACACCCATCAAACATCACTAGTTTGGAGGTTAGCTTGCAGAACAGACTGATTGATTTAAATGCCGGTGACCAGCAGGGGGCCCTACAAGCATGCAGGGACCACATATTTGGTTGGTGTTGATGCTGGTTACAGAAAGTACATGTCTGCTGGTTGCTTGTTGCTGCTTGCTAGCAGTTATTATTATAAATCATCCATTAAAGACCAATCAATCAATCAATCAATCAAATAGAAACTATATAAAATACAATATGCACATGCATTTATCATTAGATGTATTTTTTATTTATTTGCAAATATAAATGATCTAAAAAATAATATACAAATTAATAAATAAATGAACAACTACAACAATAATACATTTTGTAGAGAAATTCTTACATAGGCACAATTTATGCACCTATTATGCACCATTATTATTATTATTATTATTATATAATAATAATAATAATAATAATAATAATAATAAAGGTATCACTTTAGAATAGGAAACACATATTCACTAGTTCAACTAGTTAATAGTAAGAATTAATGTAATTATTATTTTAATTATTATTATTATCAATGTATTTATTTTTAATTTATTTGTAAATTTTATTTGTAAAAAAAATTAAATATGTAACAAATAAATATTATAATAGTAATAGTTATAGTAATAATACATTTATTTTTTATTTATTTGCGAATACAAATAAATAGAAATTAAATAAAATATAATAAATTAATAAATACAATTTATAATAATAATAATTATAATAAAATGTCATTTTATAGAGACATTTTTGGCCACAAAAATGTGCACAGGCACAATTTATGTTTGTCTATAGAGCAAATTTCAAGCACTAAAAAGGTTTTTAAGATCACGAGAAACATACATTCACTCAAGTGTGTCCACACTTTTAATTGGAAGTGTATGTGTGTATATAAAATCTGTATTTGTGTATTTATGTGGCTTCTGTGTTTGGAAAAAGAATCGTTGAAAATCCCTCTGAATAACATGAGCATCTATAAATGGCAAACACTGCTGAAAGACTGAACCTCAAGAGAGCGATGCGGTCATCCATGGAGCCCACCAAAATGTCAGGATAATCATTTCCATCCATATCCAGTCCTCCACTGAGAGAGTAGCCGAACGTCTGAAAGCCACTGGGACCTAATGATTTCCCCTCGATCACCTAAGAGAAAGTCACATTACCCGTTCAATCACCCTCTTCTTATTCTCAAGGTCCAGATATGGTTGATTTATGTATGATCACGCACTTATCAATGACATGCAACAGTAGGTAATTGTAAAATTGTCACCCAAAAATCTTAAATATATATTTCCAAAAGTGTTCCATATAAATCCCAAGATGATTGCTTTACCTGGCTGGGTTCTGTAGTTATTCCATTTTTGCTTCCCATCCATATAAAGACTTTCCCAGAGTCTTGGAACGGAGCACCAACAGCTAAATCTGAAGACACGAACCCCAGAGCAACGTGATTAACCCTCCATGGCCTCCAGATGGAAGCATTATAACACGAATTACATAATACACTACCATTCAAAAGTTTTTATGCACATCAAGGCTGCATTTATTTCATCAGAACAACAGTAAAAACAGTAATATTCTGAAATATTATTACGATTTAAAATAACTGTTTTCTATGTGAATATGTGTTAGAGTGTAATTTATTCCTGTGATGTAAAGCGGAATTTTCAGCATCTTCAGTGTCACACGATCCTTCAGAAATCATTCTAATATGCTGATTTACTGCTCAGGAAACATTTCTTATTGTTATTCGTGTTGAAAAAAGTTGTGCTGCTTCATATTTGTGTGGAAATCATGATTTTTGTTTTTTTTCAGGATTCTTTGATAAGCAAGAAGTTAAAAAGAACAGCCCTTATTTAAAAAATAAATATTTTATATATCTTTTCTGTCACTTTAATCAGTCAATAATGAATTTAATGCATCCTTGCTGAATAAAAGCACTAATTTATTTCTTTTTTCTAATCTAAACTGAAATCTACGATCTAAATTAAAAAATCTAAAAATCTTATTGACTCTAAAACTTAGAATAGTAGTGTATTTATTTATGTATAATGAATTTAATATATTTATATATATATATATATATATTATATTTAATATATTATAATATATTTATTTGTGTATATTTACATTTTAATATTTATTATGCTTATAAAGTATAATCATATTTTATACTTTTTTATGTTGTGTTCAAACAATTGCATATTTATAACAGTAAGTCTGTAGTCAGCGTTACCTTGAAATCCGTCCTGATTGACGTCCCCCACCGCAGCAACAGCAAACCCAAACCCTGAGCCTTTTTTACCCTTCAGAAGCAAGCTGGCTTTTTCCCGGAAGGATCCGTTCTCGTTCATGAAGACGTAAACAGCTCCTCCCTCCTCCTTGTTGCGATCAAAGTAGAACGGAGCTCCAACGATCAGGTCGTTCCAGCTATAACAACACGCATCCACACAGATGACATGTTATGTCTAAATTATGAACATTTATTTTCATAGAATCCTTTCATAGCTTTAGTAAAGAATGAGAAACCTGCCATATAAAAGCATTCAGCCGTGTATCTGTTGACATGCTTAAGTATGAAGCTCAAGAGGATCTTTTCAAGGGCACATGGGGAAAGTTAGACATGCTTTGGTCTACTTCCTTTGTATTGACTTTCAAACTCAGTGAAACGTTACACAGATCCGTCTCTGTGATGATAATGGATTATTGGACATGAAAACATGAAAAGTAGTACGAAGCTGTATGACTGGTATTTTTGTGCAGTGATTCATTGGACCCCATTGACTTTTACTGTACAACTTTGTGTTCTAGTAAGATATTACATTAAACACGTTTAACAGATTAGCCAGCTATAGCATAGCTAATACAATGATTCATTTACACAGTGACCTACTCGTCATTGTTGAGGTCGGTCACCGCCAAGCAGCCGCCGAAGTACGACCCTAGTTGTTCCCCTGGGATCGTCATCACTGGGTTAAGAAGCAAACCTTGTTTTTCTGCCAGGATCACTGAACCTTTGAAATTGTCTCTGGGAGCCCCCGTCACCACAGTGTACTTCGAGCGATCCAGTAACTTTATGTCCTCCAGCACAGAGTAACCTGAAGAAAGAGATGAGCATTCTTAAACCAGCAGTGAAGCCACTTTGAAACTGTAGCTTGTCAAGCTACTACAAAATGCAACCACAGTCAAATGACTATTGAGAAAGAAGAAAACGGTAGCTATTCTATTCTATTCTATTCTATTATTCTATTCGAATAATATTTATCTGGAGTATTAAAATTCGCAATTAGAGTGACAACATTAAGCAGAACTTATTTAAACTCAAATAAAAAAAAACATATATACAAAACTTATAAAAGCAAATAAAAACAGTCTTAATATATTACAATGTTTGATGAAATGATTATTAAACAATCAGTAAATCACTAAATAAATACTGCACATATTAACAACAAAAACACTCAAATTTACTTTAAACATACTGATAAAATTATTGTACGATTCCTGATCAATTAACACTAAAACATATAAATCTATTATATAAAATTAAACAAATGTATACAAAAATGACTGATAAAATGATTTTAAGATTATCAGTCAATTAACACTAAACACTAACAGTAAAACAAAAACACTACAATTAATGCATTCAAATACATTTTTGCTCAGATTATTGTGCAATACTATTTGCAATATAGAAAAAAGACGTAAAATGCTATGAAGAAAACAATATTTGATCAAAATACTATACAATTATTAGAATATGAACACTTAATAAATACTATACATACTAAAAAACATTTTACAATTTTTTTTACAAATAAATGATAAATTAGCACTAAATAATAAAACATAAAACTCTCTCTCTCTCTCTCTCTCTTTCTAAATAAACTGAACACAGAAATACTGCACATATTAACAACAAAAACACTCAAATTTACTTTAAACATACTGATAAAATTATTGTACGATTCCTGATCAATTAACACTAAAACATATAAATCTATTATATAAAATTAAACAAATGTATACAAAAATGACTGATAAAATGATTTTAAGATTATCAGTCAATTAACACTAAACACTAACAGTAAAACAAAAACACTACAATTAATGCATTCAAATACATTTTTGCTCAGATTATTGTGCAATACTATTTGCAATATAGAAAAAAGACGTAAAATGCTATGAAGAAAACAATATTTGATCAAAATACTATACAATTATTAGAATATGAACACTTAATAAATACTATACATACTAAAAAAACATTTTACAATTTTTTTTACAAATAAATGATAAATTAGCACTAAATAATAAAACATAAAACTCTCTCTCTCTCTCTCTCTTTCTAAATAAACTGAACACAGTTATAAACGCAACACTTTTTTTTTGCCCCCATTTGTTATGAGCTGAACTCAAAGATCTAAGACTTTTTCTATGTACACAAAAGGCCTATTTCTCTCAAATATTGTTCACAAATCTGTCTAAATCTGTGTTAGTGAGCACTTCTCCTTTGCCGAGATAATCCATCCACCTCACAGGTGTGGCATATCAAGATGCTGATTAGACAGCATGATTAATGCATAAAATTACATTTTTGGTAAGATTATTGTATAATGCTATGTAACATGTCAGTGAATATGAATGAATCAGTGAATATTTTTTTAACTCCCTCATGACAATGTTTCATATTTTATAGGGTCTTGTTGTCTTACATCTCTACTCACTGGAAAAAGCAGGTCGTTACTGAACCAAACTGCTCTATTTAGAAAACATCTGAGCTACTGAAACAAGAAGAGCTTTTTTTTTATTTATTCCCCAACACTGTTATTCCCAAACATTGTCAATGTGATTCAAAACCAACAATACAGTACAGTACATACCTATGTAGATGTTGAGTCTGTCCTCGCCTAGCTTACCGAAGCTTATTTCATTGGCATCTCCGGCAAAATCAAAGTTGGGGTCTCTCTCTTTCATATGGACAGTTCCTATATGAACAGAAGAATCCCTTTTATTAACTGAAGGATGGAGAGCTGACACACCAGATTTTGTTGGTTTTCCCGTACTCACCCTGCCACACAAAGCTGCCGGGCGACCCAAAGTACACGTCATTCTCCGTCATGCCCCCTGAGATGCCCATGTTACACATGCCCTCCAGGTTCTGGTCATAGTTGAAGTCGCACAGCTCGTAAGTGTCAGACTGCCAGTAATCAGTCGGGTCGTAGGTCAGGTCGTTGCCCCGCACGTAACATTTGCCCACCATACGCTGCTGCTCTTCGGCGCCCAGAAGTTTTTTTACGTAGCGATGACCACATGCCTGCCAACAATAAAGAAGAGATGAACAACAGGAATTCTGATTAGAATTTGCTTTAATTTTTATTTTTAAAATGATTATTTGAGCCTTTAAAAAAACAGACACCAAATTATAAAGCCTGTACATTAAAACTTATAAGGTCTAAAGTTTGGAATAATTAAGAATTGTTTTTTTTTGTTTTTTTAAAGAAGTCTCTTCTGCTCACCAAGGCTGCATTTATTTAATCAAAAATACATGAAAAACAGCAATATTGTGAAATATTATTGCCATTTAAAATAAATGTTTTCTATGTGAATATATTATAAAATGTAATTTATTCCTGTGATGCAAAGCATCATTACTCCAGTCTTCAGTGTCACACGAGCCTTCAGAAATCATTCTGATATGCTGATTTGTTGCTTAATTATTATCAATTATTACTGAATAGCAATTTTTAATAGTTGTTGTTATTATTATTATTATCAATGCTGAAAACCATTTTAGTTGATTAATACTTTTGTGGAAACCATGCTACATTTTTTTTCAGGATTCTTTGATAAATAGAAAGCTCCTAAATAAAAATACATTAAAACTATCTGACTTACTGTTATAAATATGCAATTGTTTGAAGTTTAAAATATTATTATACTTTATACGCATAATAAATATTAAAATGTATATTAAAATGTAAATATACACAAATAAATATATATAAATATATTAAATATAATATATATATATAAATATATTAAATTCATTATACATAAATAAATTCAAAAATACACTACTATTCTAAATTTTAGAGTCAATAAGATTTTTAGATTTTTAACGCTAAACAAACAAACAAATCCTATTTAACTCAAACTTTTGTATGGTAGTGTAATATGATTTCCACAAAAAAAATATCAAGCAGCAAAAGTTTTCAAGATGTATAATAACAAGAAATTATTCTTGAGCATCAAATCAGCATAATAGAATGATTTTTGAAGAATCATGATACAGAGTAATGATGCTGAAAATTCATTGGAATAAATTACATTTTAAAATATATTCAAAAACAGAAAACAGTTATTTAAATTGCAATACTATTTCACAATATTATCATATGTTTAACTGTATTTTTCATTAAAATAAATTCAGTCTTGGTGATCATAAGAGACTTCGTTCAAAAACATCAAAATATCTTAATTATTACAAACTTTTGTCTATTACTGTAAAAGTACAGGACAAGCCATGAACATTGTCCCAGCCCACATTACAAAAGGGGGCCCACTAAGGTAATGAACTCCTGAAAACAGCTTCAAGCGTATTATCAACCAACAACACCTAAAACAGCTAATCAAGGTTAGTTGAAAATTACAGGCAGGAGTGTAAAAGCAGGGTTCGAACTACACTGAGGAACAGTGGCCTGAGTGCATCTGACCCTCTCATTGAGTCCAAAGGAGGGATCCATTCAATTGTGTCTGTCGATTTTAACTGATGGTCTTGCCTTTGCAAATAAACAGTCTAAAAAACAAAAAGAAAAGGAACCAAAGATGCATCTGATCTCACCAGCACATGTCCTCCAGTCCTCTGACTGGCCACGGTCACTCCCAGCCACATGCCCTCCACCATCTCTGCTGACTGCGCTGAAGGAGAAACAAACTCCATCAGACAATGATTGTATCCCTCAGTCTGCCCACAAAGAGCATCTCTCTATATGTACATTTTCACACAATGATTTCGGCAAAATTGCGCCCCCTCCATGTGGCGCCCCTATGCACTGCATATACTGCATACCCCGTTTTTGCGCCACTGGTCAACACCATAAAGCTAACATGTTGTGATTGGTAGAGTTTTGCTGTATGATTGATAATGTATTTTTAAGTATACTTTATCCAACTCTCCAAGTACTAAAGCTAAAAAGCTAACAAGTACTAAGCTAAGAAAAGTCAATAGATTTGCAGATCTATTAAAAATGGTGTAAACCAGAAAGTCACGCTCTGCGTCTGCTCAAAGTAACTTTTAGGCTGCACAGACTTCCTGTGTTGAGCGTATCATGTTAATTCTGAAGCAAATACCTGCCTACAACATGAGCCAGTCATGCTGACCTGAGAGAGGAGGGAGAAAGGCAGGCCAGAAATGTGAAGATGAAGGTCTTTTGAATAGCATGGAGTGAGACAGCACTCAGACAGGTGCATTTTATGGTTGCTGTGTTGAGGCTTTGTAAGGGAAATTTTATTATTATAGGTATTATTTGCTTCACTGTACTAAAGAGTGTTCTTATTCACTGTCCATGAGTGCTTCATCAATATGCTTGTGTTTTCGATGAGCTGAGAGATAAGAGGAAATCTGTTTAATGTGTGTGTGTAAGACAAGTGCGAGATGCTATTTTAGACCTAGCATCTTCTAAGAAATTATCTGCATTAAATACTTAGAAACACATCTTGGGGATATAGTTGAATATGCATTATGATTGGTTGAGATAGAAGCATCCTGATTTGATTAGGGTATACATAATGAGTTAAGGTATTTTATCTTTGTCACACTCTGTGGTCAACTTGAATGACTGTATGACTGTTGGCTATTTCTTGCAAGAAATAAGTATTCAAAGGACTTTCTGCCTCTTGCCTTATTGAATTAGACAATTGACACAACAGGCTTGTTTTGACTTTCACTTGTGTCTAAAACAGGAGCAGGTAATTTTGGGAAATAGATAGGACTGTCCGAGCCCTGATATACAGTATGTAGATGTTAGACACATTATCTAATCTGTAAACCGAACGCCCTAAATTTTCCATAGTCCTTTGATCTACAGTAACACTGTGAATGATATTTAGCTTCTAAAGCTAATATAACATCTTAAGTAAACCATCTTTTTTTTTAAAATTACTTTTCCTGCTTTAAGTGTAGATTTCTGATAAGTTATATGAATACCTACGTGGACTGATGAGGTCCATCCTCCTGCAGTCATCCTGCTCGATAGTGATGGGACAGTAATACACGGCTCCGGTTTCATTAATGTTGAATTTGCTGAGTTGGGGCTGGGCTTTTTCTTGGGGTGCTCCGACTAAGAGGCTACAGAAGAACAGCAAACACTCAATGAAAAACTCAAATCGATAAAATAAAAATTTTTCAGAATACAATTCATCGATTTTCTAAATGCATATTATATTGTGAACAATTCACCAGCGCATTTGTTTCATTTAAACAAAAATGGACCAGGACTTCTCCAATCATTTAGTCTGTTTAAACCACACCTCTAGAAGCTTGTGTCAACATGACTTTTAACCAGAATATGGGCCTGAACTGAAAATTATGTGCATGTAAAAGCGGTCAGCATGGTCTCACAATTGTCTGTGTAATTGTGTCACAATTTCCTCATTTTATCTTGTTAGAGAATAAATAAATTGTGGGTGGTGAAAACATAAAGAAACTGCATGAGTTCCAAATCTCAAGTGATTCTTGGAAAAAGATTAGTCTGTACAATCACTGGTCTTAAAAGTCTTACATTTGAATAAACAAAAGTGACAATGTTTCATTTAGTTCCAATTTGGATCTCAATGATCAAAACAATTGATAAAAATCCAGCACTCAAAGCACTATGCGTAAAAAATGAACGTAGAGAGTAAATTCGTAAATGCATGGTTTTATAATAGAAAAAGAATGAAGGAAAAGAGGATTAGAGAAAGCAAACAAGCCCAGACCTGAAATGAAAGGTGTAAAGAATATGGTTTACCCTTTTATTTTCTCTCCTTCCCACGTATTATTACACATTAGAATAAGTTGAGGGTAAAGCAATTCAATAAAGTGGCAGAGATGTCCTGTAACCAAACACCTGCCACCATGGCATTTGATCTAATAATAACATACTAACTAGAACTGTACCTGTTTTGGGCCCATTAATGTATAGAAAAAAGCAAATGACAAATTTATATGCAACTGAATGTAAGATTTATTAACAGTGTTTGCCTAAGGCTCTTTCTCATGACTAAGGGCTTCAGAGTCATGCGCTGCTTTGGCCTTCACAGGCAGATGGCGTCACAGAAGGGAGATTTTTATGAGGTTGCTAGGTAGCAAGTAAGTGGTAAGTGTACATATTAAACAGTGAAAGCATGTACTTGTGCTAGAACAGAAAAATCTTGTAACTTTTTAAAAAATGCTAAAAACCGTTGAATAAAAATGCTTCATTACATTATTTTTAACAACTAAGCGTTTGATTATTTATAATGTTTTATTAAAGAAGATTTTCACACAATGATTTCGGCAAAATTGCGCCCCCTCCATGTGGCGCCCCTATGCACTGCATATACTGCATACCCCGTTTTTGCGCCACTTCACAGGCAGATGGCGTCACAGAAGGGAGATTTTTATGAGGTTGCTAGGTAGCAAGTAAGTGGTAAGTGTACATATTAAACAGTGAAAGCATGTACTTGTGCTAGAACAGAAAAATCTTGCTGATTGCTTTGGTAGACAAAAGAAAGTGGAACTGAAAAAGTTAAAGAAACTCATCTCAGGATGCTTTTTGAATTAAAATTAGTCTAGCAACCGGTCACCATGATGACATGTTTTTGAAAATTCAGTATTAAACTTCAATTATAAATAAACATAATTATATAATTAAAATTAAAAACTGTGTGCAATTGAAATGTCAGTATACAACATTATTATATCTAAAAATAAAGAGCTATTGAATTTAAAGGTTTGACGACGTACTATACCTGATTGTGACGAGTGGGGCGGGGCAGAGAGCCGTGGGAACTGAGCGAGGCCGGTGGAGTAAATGCTAATGCGCGACACCTGCGCCACGCACCGGTCTCGAGTCCCACGGAGGAGCTCCGGAAGGATAAAAAAAGGAGTGATGACAGTGGTGGACGAGAGAGGACCAGGCCTGGATTTTATTTTGTGTTTATTTTATTATTAAAGTTTTGTTTGAATGTTCGCCGGTTCCCGCCTCCTTCTTCCCGACCTACGAACGTTGTTACATTGGTGCCGAAACCCAGGAGGAAGAAGGGACATGCTGCCAGAGACCCCTTGCCACTGTGGTGAATCTGCGGTGCCATCGAGCGGGGTTGGGGTGGGGGTGGCCTTGCGGACAAACTAGCTGCCGACCACCTGGAATGTGGAGGGACGGCTGCCATCCGTGAGGGAGCGGAGGAGTCGCCGCCGTTCGCCTGAGGCCGGAGCCTGCTGCCATCCGCCATGATGGGGAGGAGCAGGGAACGGGGGACTCCTGCCAGCTGCCCGAACTCGGAGGAGCCATGCTGTGCACCGGGTGGCGGAGGGGTGTCTGGCCGTCCACCGAGGGCTATCCAGTGCCGCCGCCAGGCATCGCGGAAGAGTTTACCCAGCTGCTGGAGGGCCGAGCGGCAGTGTGTCTGGGAACCGGAACAAGATTTTTTTTCCCTCTCTCTCATCTCCGTCTCTCCTCATCCTTCCATCTTCTTTCTCTCGCCTCGTCTGTCTGTCCTTACCCCCAGGTACGCCGCGGCCGCCGTGATCGGCTCCCCCGGAGGGGGAAGGGGGGGGGAGTAGAGCGCAGTCTCGTGGGTACCCCCTGGCTTGCGAGGGGCGATGGGGGTATGTGACGAGAGGGGCGGGGCAGAGAGCCATGGGAACGGAGCGAGGCCGGTGGAGTAAATGCTAATGCATGATACCTGCACCACTCACCGGTCTCGAGTACCACAGAGGAGCTCCGGAAGGATAAAAGGAGGAGCTACGAGAGTGTTGGACGATAGAGGACCAGGCCTGGACTTTATTTTGTGTTTTGGTTCTGTTTGTGCGTGACAGTCGTCCGCGAGGGGCTGTCGCGCTGTTTTATATTTATTTTATTATTAAAGTTTTGTTTGAATGTTCGCCGGTTCCCGCCTCCTTTCCGTGACTACGAACTTTGTTACACTGATATAAATACAAATTAATTTATATTGAATCAAATCGAGATCAGAATCGAATAAAGAGCCTGTAAAACAGCCATAAAAAAGAAAACAAACAAGAAAAAGTGGGAAGAAACAAAGCAAACTAGTGTGCTACTGTACATTTTACAAACATTAATAGATTTAAGGCCCAAAACATTAATAGACTTAAAGCCCGTTCATAGCAAAAAACGATAAATATAAAGATGATTAAAACAGTAACTATATTACCATCCACACCAACAATGAAAACATGCTTTTATCATGCTTTTTCATGCATTTATTATAAGCGCTATTTATGTTGTCTGCTTTGTTCGAGTTCTTTAAAGTCCGAACACTTCTGATTGGCTTTCATTGTTTTTCTTTTTTTAGTATTCGTCAACTAAAAAAAAGAACGTTCTGAAAATGATTGCAAAAGTATCGTTCCTCTGTGTCTTTACATTTATTCATTTTAGCAGATGCTTTTATCCAAAGCAACTTACAAATGAGGAAAACAAAAGCAACAAAAGGGCAATAATATGTAAGTTCTGTGACAAGTCTCAGTTAGCCTAACGCAGTACACATAGCAAGTTTTTTTTTAATAATAAATAAAAAGAAAACAAGAAGATAGAATAGGAAAAAGAATAGAGAATACTATTAGAGTAGTTGTGTTAGAGTGTTTTTTTTAAAGAAAACAAGCTGTAAGAATAGAAATAGAATAGAGAGTGCAAGTGTTAGAGGGTCGAGTGTTTTTTTTAGTTTTTTTTTTAGAATTAGAATAGAGAGTTGAGTGCTAGAATTAGAGGGTCAAATGAAGATGGAAGAGATGTGTTTTCAGCTGTTTCTTGAAGATGGCTAAGGACTAAGCTGCTCGGCTTGAGTTGGGCAGGTCATTTCACCAGGAGGGAACAGTTAATGTAAAAGTCTGTGAAAGTGATTTTGTGCCTCTTTGGGATGGCACAATAAAGCGACGTTCACTTGCAGAACGCAAGCTTCTAGAGGGCACATAACTCTGAAGTAGTGAGTTTAGGTAAAGGGGTGCAGAGTCAGTGGTGATTTTGTAGGAAAAACATCAATGCCTTGAGTTTTATGCAAGCAGCTATTGGTAGCCAGGTCAAATTGATGAACAGATGTGTGACATGCGCTCTTTTTGGCTCGTTAAAGACTAATCTTGCAGCCGCATTCTGAATTAGTTGTAGAGATTTGATAGAATTGGCTGGAAGACCTGCTAAGAGAGCACTGCAATAGTCCAGCCTGGATAGAACAAGAGCTTGAACAAGGAGCATGTTCCGAAAGAAAGGGCCTGATCTTCCTAATCTTGTACAAAACAAATCTGCAGGACTGGGCAGTTTTATCAATGTGGTCTGAGAAATTCAGCTGATCATCAATCAAAACTCCATGGTTTCTGGATGTCTTTGAAGGAGTTATGGTTGATGTGCATAGCTGGATGGTGAAATTGTGATGAAGTTATGGGATTGTTGAAACTACAAGCAGTTCTGTGTTGGCCAGTTTGAGTTGAAGGTGATGGTCCTTCATCCAGCAAGAAATGTCTGTTAGACAAGCTGAGATGCGAGCAGCTATTGTCATATCATCAGGATGGAATGAGAGGTAGAGTTGTGTGTCATCAGCATAGCAGTGACATGGAAAGCCATGTTTCTGAATGATAGAACCTAGTGATGTCATGTAGATAGAGAAGAGAAGTGGTCCAAGAACTGAGCCCTGAGGCACCCCAGTAGCTATAGATAAATTCCAATAAATCCCTTTATTGTCAGTTGTGGTGTGGTCTTTCCCATTCTCACATAATTAAAATGATTATTTAACATTTAAAAACCAATTTAAAAAAAATGTATATTAAAACATGATTTTATTTTATTTTTTCTTAATGTGTAAAGCTTATCAATAAGAAAAAAAAATGTTTTCCTCCTTCTTTCGATATTAACTTTCAGTGATGCTAACCACAACATATTAGCCCTTGGAGTGAAGAAATTCAGCTTCTGCTCTGAGAAGGTGTTATTGATGTCATGAGAGATGGGAGCTATTTCTGAGGCCTGGGGACACTCTCTATCACCAGGTGTCAGCACAGTGATCCTAGCAAGAACAGTTTGGACTTGTAGAGTCGTTACACTCGAGCACATGCCTCACTGATAGCAGAGGATAAAGCTTTTCTTAGACAAACTGAGGCACAGT